CAACAGTGACATTTTTTACGTTAAATAAAGGAAACAGGTTTCAAAAAACGCTGAACATTGTACCTACCAAACATCATTAGTAGAACATGAGAAAATGCATTATGCCCGTTAATAAAATAAGTTATTTATTGACAGCTTTCAAATCTGTGCTCCTCGGCCGTGATAAAGCGAGCAGCGGGGCTCGGTTTCGAGATGCGGTTTTGCGGTTACAGCCTCTTTGTACCTTCCCCTGTTGAATACAAAGCAGAAACGCGTGTAGCAGCACACGTTACCCCCTTGTTTGTCTCAGGCTAATGTTAAACATTGCTAACTACATCCGGCTGGGGTCATCAATTATTCAAATCAACCCGTAGAAAATACCCTTTGGACATTCTTTTTTGCTTCGTCGATTATTTATATTAGGAAATTCATTGGCTTCCTATACCGGGAATTTCGCGTGGGCCCAATAATTTTTTTTTTTTCAAAATATGTTGACAGTTTAAAGATTCATACTTTCTGAAATCCTTGAAATCTATACACATTGAATAATTTTATTATAATTAATTTAAAATTATACATATAAAAATATAAAAAATAATCCATTATATTTCGTGGTCCGATTGACCAAATAACTTCTTTCAATTAATTAATTTTTATGTAAGGTATTGGTTGAAATGAAAAATGGCCGGAGGTCGTGGGTTCGAATCCCGTTCGTGACACTAAATTTTTCATTTCAACCAATGCCTTACATAAAGATTAAATAAAAAATAATGTTGAATTTTCACCACTTACACATGTTAGAAGTCTTAGCTAAACTCCAAATATGTTTTTATTGTGAAGAATGTCACGACATTGCCTCTCAAATTTTAGCAACCGTAAACCTACTAACAATTGGAATTGTTTTGGTTTATTGGAAAAATAAACATTGAATTTTAGCTCATGTCGACTAACGTTTATAAGTAAGTGGTAGCAATTTTTATTGTCTAGTTTTATTAAAATTACGAATATTAAGAATTTCAAAGTATTATGGTTTAAAAATGAAATTAAAAATATTGATGCCAATGACACCAACTAACATATAAAACCGTAAATGGCCACCACCACAGCAAAAAGTGTTCTCTTAAACTCAGTGTAATTGACTACGTCGTCACTATTATTAGTAAACCCTAAAGCAGTAAAGCAAATAAATTATAAAAGTCAGTATCATTTCAACAAAAAAAAGTTAACATTTTTAAAAATAATGAATCGTTTTTGAAAAAATAATGAATAAAAAACAACTATTTACCATCAAAATTTCACACAAATAGTTATATCATTTATTAAAATTCACTAGTTTTCGTGTTCCGCTTGACCAATTAATATCTTTCAATTAATTAAGGTTTTTAGTTGAGATAAAAAAGTCAGTGTCACGAGCGAGATTCGAACCCACGATCTTCTGCTCTACCACTTGAGCTGTCGTGACCTCGATCTACTCGGGCACCAACCAATCACCATCCATTCGAATCCCGCTCGTGACGCTGAATTTTGAACTCAACTAAAAACCTTAATTAATTGAAAGATATTAATTGTTCACCAAAACTAGTGAATTTAATAAGTTAAAATGAAGTTACCTTTACTAAACGTCTCCGTGGCCATTTCATTTGTCGCCGAGAATCAAATAGACACGACATTTGAAAAATGGCAAACAGGAGAGAAAATTCAAAAGGTGGGGTTGAGATGGGAAGTATCTAGCCGAAGATCGTTGGTTCGAATCACTTTTTTATCTCAACTAAAAACCTTAATTGAAAGATATTAAAATATTTACACTAATAAAACCATGCTTTTAGGTAATTGTCTAAGTTATAGACCATTTAAAATTGTTTTGTTTTTTTATGATTTGGAAAATAATGTTTTTGTACCTCTTTGTCTTCGAAAAATGAATCATGGATTTATGGAGCTAACCTGTCTCTAACTCTAATCATACCTAGCGTATCCTAATCCATTCCTAACGACAACCTACCCGTTGTTCTAATCCCAAACCCAACCTAACTTTCCATTTACCCTACCTTAACATTGATCTTTAACTTAATCCTACCTTACATTCCTTCCTTATTTTAACCTAATTCTTCCTAACTTATGAACCCCTTTTAACCCTAACCATAATCCTAACCCTCTCTACCTTGTGCCTCTAACTTGTGCCAGTTCTAACTCTTGAATTAATCCTAGCTCTAACCCTACCTAATCTAACCTATTCCGCTCCTAACACTAGCAAAAACCCTACCGATTCTGACTCTAATTTTAATTAACTCGATAATAAAACTACCCTGTCCTTTAACTTTAACGGCTTGTCGTAAGAAATGTTATTACATTTTCGCAAAAGAACTTTAAGTTTTTTTTAATAAATCATTATTGGCAAGTGTTGAGCTGTTATTTATAAACGAGGGTAAGAAAAGATACGAAGTAAACACGTAAGTAATGGACATGTTAACAAGATTGTCAAAAATAATGAAGTACAATTTGTTATAAAAAAGAACATTTGACGACGCTATAATCATTTTTATTATGCCAGTGCTCTTGTTGAAAACAGTAATCAACGTCAACGTGTGACTTCTCATCGACGTTTATCGCATTAAAAAGAAAACCAGCAAATTGTCCGTTTATCAGGAGAAAAAGTGAAATATCCGTTTATGGTTTTGGGAAAAAAGTGCGCGGCTGTTTAAGTAACATTTCACCTTTCTGCAAGAGAATTTTCAGAAGTGAAACTTTTTAAACCGGTGTTATAAATACAAAACGGGTCTTGAATTATAAATTCGTTTTCCTCTCTTGGCTGGGTAAAACTCAAATAATCTCCGCATTTTTCCCACAGCGAGATTAATAAAAGTTTTACATTTGACTAGACTTTTCAAAGCTTAAGCAATTAGATTGAATCAATGGAAATAAAATATAAAATAAGCGTAATATGTCCGCCATTTATTGTCACTTACAGGGTGGAAGGCACAGAACGGTATGCAAATGTATTATCAGTTTAATATTTAATTATAAATGAATTATTTAAATAATAATTTTCTTATTACTTTTTATAAAAAATTAAATTTCCTGAAAAGTCGTTTTTTTAAATTTTCATAACAGACTGGAATTGTTCATAAATAAATGTGAGAATTAAAGTAAGCAACAGTAAACTGTAAAATTGTGTAAATCATAGCACCAATTAAAGGTAATTACATAAAAGAACTTTCATATATCAACTATTTTAATTTACATACCATAATTGCATGCCAATTCATCAATATGTGAAACTGACTGTTACAAGACTCATTTTAACGTTCAATAAATTCGTTGCTCAAAAGAAATGTTATGCTTAGATTAAACGAAATTTGTTGCTGACTTGGCTAAAGAACGCTTTGTTTTAATTCAATCACGATAAAACATTTTTACACATTAATAAAATAAACTTATTTATTGTAATATTTTTCGTTATTATTACAATATGTTAACAACCAACAATTTTAATAGTCTCAATGCTTTACAATTAGACAAAATTTGTATCTCATGTTGACGTAGAGCTCTCTCGTTTTTGAAATTATCATCCTACATTTTGGTTTTGAAATGAATTTTTTAAATAATTTTTTATAATTACTAACTTATGTTTTCTGTAATAAGTCTATACTTACTGGGTAATGTATTATTCAGCTTTATTAGTGACCCGTACTTGATGTCTAATAAACGGATATCAGGAAAATACTTAGCAAGAGTTGTAGGTTATTTCCTTTTTGGGGACACTAACTTTGTCTTTCGTTCAGAAAATCGGTGTTTAGGTTTTCCTTTTGTATGAAATAATAATGGACTAATCGTCCAATTCAAAACATCATTAAAAAACAAAACGACTTATCTGAGGACATCATATAACAAGTCATTTGACATAGACGACTCCCCTCGCAAAAATAATTACTTTAAAAAAAGTTAATATGTCCGTTTACACCGATAGTTTATACATAAACCTAAGCAATTTAAGCCAAAGTAAAGACTTGGAATGTTTTGTCTGATCTAGATGGCATCCTAATCAAGATGGCACTTAGAAAACCAACTTGGGAGGCTAAAAAATGGTTACACTGTTGGCTACACATTGATAAATTTTATTATCATATTATATTACGTATAAATATTACATTTAAAATTGTTTAAGGAAATTACAGCAATTCAATGCAAACCATTTATTGATGATACTGATGTCGGGTCACCAGCTGCCCCTCTTCAGTCTCGTTTCATTTTGGAATGTGTGTTTGTACAAATGAAAGGAGACTGAAAAGGGATACCTGGTGCTCCCGAAAAATAATTACATTAAAGAAAAAAGTTGATATTTCCGTTTACACCGTTAGTTAACACATAAACCTAAGCAAGTTAAGCGCAAGTGAAGGCTTGAATTTTTTGTCAGATCTAAATGGCATCCTAATCAAGATGGCACTTGGAAAACCAACTTAGAAGGCTAAAAAATGGCTACCCTGTATTGATAAAGTTTATTAACATATTATACTACATACGTATAAATATTACACTTACAAATTTTTTAAGGAACTTACAACAATTCAATCCAATCTATTTATTGAAGGTACCGATGTCGGGCACCAGCCGCCCCTCTTCACTCTCGTTTCGTTTTGGAAGAAGTGTTTTCACAAATGAAAGGAGACTGAAAAGGGGAACCTGGTGCTCCCGAAATCGATATTCTCAATAAATTTATATGATTGAATTGTTGTGTTTACCTTAAAAAAACACCTTAAAAACAATTTAATATAAGCTAACAATGAGAAATAAAGAAGAAAATAATAAATAATGATAGTTTTTAGTTTTCTATTAACCTTCAAGCCGTTGACCGGCCCTCAGTACTGTTTACTGAATTGGATTTTTTGTTCTTCTTGCCACCTTCTGCTTTAATTTTCTGTTATTTCTGTATATTTACATAACTGAAAAAACTGTTAGTTTTTTAATTGTGAAGTGTTTTTTTTTATTCGGATTATTTGCAGAAGTGTAAATGATCGTTTTATTTGTTTCAGAGCTGTGGAGCTGTAAAGAGCCTCTGTTGGCTAGTTGCGGGCCTGATTGTCCTTTTGGCCTGCAGGTTGCACGTGATGGGAAGCAATACGCCTTCTTTCGCCACGAGCGACAACCCGACGGCAAGGTGTCCATCGATATTCACCAGGTTTTTCACATTCGCTTACCTCCCAGCCTTCAACGGTCTGCTGCTCCTCTTCCCGAAATGGCTCAGCTTCGACTGGTCGATGGACTCCGTTCCTCGGATTACAAGCCTCTTCGATTGCAGAAATATATTCACGATCTTGTTCTACGCCCTGCTGTACATCGGCGTTTCCAGGTGTATAAGAGACCTGCGCCACTGTGAAGAAGTGGCGAAGAAAAGGAGGAAGTGCAGGGGCTGCGGGCACAGCGGTGTGTACCACACGAGGGCGTGTAAATTGTCGAACAACAACAACTACCCTACCACGCCCTGCAGTTGTTCCACTCCTTCCAGAGTGACAAAACAATCCGAAACAATCATATTGTCATTGGCTATCTTGGTCGTCCCGTTTTTGCCAGCAACAAATTTATTTTTCTACGTCGGGTTCGTTGTCGCAGAAAGAGTTCTCTACCTGCCCTCGGTTGGCTACTGCTTACTTCTGGGCATTGGATACGCCAAACTTTCCACACCGAGAAACGTACTTCCTCAACTAGCCCTGGCAGTCCTTTTGCTAACATACTCAACGAAGACATACATCAGAAACATGGATTGGAAAGACGAAGAATCGCTTTACAGATCCGGGATACCTATCAACCCCCCTAAAGGTAAACAATATTTATTTGTCTTTTTTAAAGTTTTTTTTAATTGTCCATATGGAGTCTTAGGCAGTTCACCATTTAGTATATAAATCTTAGTCTTTGAAGCCGCTCTCTACTAATAGATTTTCTAAGATTCGGTTGATACCAAAATAAAGATTTTTATGAAGAATGTGAGGGGTGAATATTAGAACTTTTAGACAACTTTTCAAAACCTTTCAACAATATTTCTTCATAAGAATCCAGATGATTGGACTGACAAAATAAATGCATCTAAGCTCAAAAAAGCTTGGGCTCATTTTTTTTATTTCCGACCGTTTCGTTTTGCACAAAGCTCTCATAAAGAATGTTATCGATAAGAAAATCTTTGAAAAAATTAACGAACTAAAATACTTCGAGTTTTATTGGCTTTTTAAACTTTTGCTTTTAAACTAAAAGCCATGACTTCAAATGATTCCACTGCTGGAAATGTTGTTTTTGTAATTATGTGTCTGAAGGTATGTAATACTCAGTGAAATTCGGATAAATGTTCTCTCTCATTTTGGAAACTTTAGTTAACTTATTTTACTATTTCTGGATCACTTCTAATATTTTAGTGAATGAACTTTCCAATTTTGTCAGTTTATATTTAATAAAATGATTTTGTTAATTAATAATCATGCATTCTTGTCTTGCAGACAGTCTTTGTCATTGCTAATACTTTTTTTTATGGTCGCTTTGTATAGCTAAAATGTTTTCCCAGATAGCTTAACCTTTTTCCTCTTCCTAACTTCTGAATTGCAGTTTTTGTTTAGCTGTTTCTTCGAGACATAACCGGCAATGGTCATGGTCTGTCATTGCGTTGTTTTTAAGTAATGTTTTTGCGTTCCTATACTCTATTTCCACTCCCACTATTTTTATGTCCTTTGCTTACCCAAACTGTCAGTTCTCTTTTATTATAGCTGTTTATGGTAATGTTTATGTGTGAAAAATGGCAGAAAAGTAGGGAACAGTTCGAAAGATTGTAGGTTGAGATGGAGAGTTGGTATCTGGGTGAATGGAAGTCATGATAGCTCAAGTGGTAGAGCAGCGGCGAATTAAGCCGAAGGTCGGAGGTTCGAATCCCGCTCGTGACACAAAATTTTTCATTTCAACCAAAACCTTACATAAAAAGATTAATTAATTGAAAGAAGTAATTTGGTCATTCAGACCACTAAATATAATGGATTTATGTATAAGTTTAATTTACATTAGAGATTTGATTATTTTTTTAGCAAATATATCTGCGTCTCGATGGCTATGGGTTTCCGTATGACCTGGAACATGCCTCACTTTAGCGTTCCGCTATTTGGAGTACTATTATTTGGAGGTCGTGAGATGCGGTCTGGTGTGACTTAGGTTTTAAAAGAACATTTACAAGGACGTGGGAAACATTGTTTAAATTTTACAAATACATGTAGGATGTGAAGAAGAAAAAAGAATTTATACAATGCTACAAAATTGTAGATTTAAAGAAATAAATTTATACAATGCTACTAAATTTTAGATTAAAAAAAAATGAATTTATACAATGCTAGAAAATTTTAGATTTAATCAAAGTATTTGTACTCACTCAAAGTGTTTGTTTTCCGTGTAGATGTGTCATACTTGTGAGTCGAGTTGAGAGTGCCAATGAGATATTGATGTTTTATATTTATACACGTTGGATTTTGAAGGGGTGGGGAGGGAAGTCGGGAATAGAAAGACATTTTTATATGAGGAGTCGGTTTGTTTGAGGTGAAAGGAGCGGACAATACGAAAAAATGAGTAATGGTTTGGCCAGATTATCTTTTCAGGATTATATAGACGGGGATAATTAGGGAAAGGAAAATCAAATTGTTCAGGAATTAGACTATGGAGAAATGTTTGATGTGTGGAAAGTGACAATTGTTTTATATGTTGTATTATGTGTTTTGTGTGATGATGACATATTTTTTCCCATCCTACATGTATTTGTAAAATGTAAACAATGTTTATAAATCCCAGGACCTGAAGATGATCTCAATAAAAATCGAAACGTTGGCACGATAAAGAAAATGTTTTTCTAAAACCTACGTCACACCAGACCGCATCTCACGACCTCCACAAATAATTATCAAGTAACTGACACTAAACACCACATATTTGGAGAACCTAGGGCTTTTACGGAAATTAGGCCGTTTCAGATAAATTTTGAGTTGATCACTTGGGCATGAAGAGCCTTTAGTACTGTCTGGCTTCTATGATAATAGTTCGACTTGACATGGTTGTGCTGGCGCCGAAGGCTGTGGTTCTAAAAGTTAGCCATTATCCATATTTAGGTAACCAATTTTTATTCCTCTTTCTTCATTAGTAACAGTATAAATTAAACTTTAATTTTCACTTGACCCTTGGTGATTTGTTATAATGCTACTTTTTTACATTAATAAGAAACTGTTCCCCAATGATTTGATATGATCCCGGAACGCTAGTAGGAAAGCGTTCGATGAAATTATTTGTCTTAATAGTTTTACTGCCAAACATCTTAAGACAGTGGTAAAATCAAAATGATTATTTTTTAAATGTTTAATTATAAATGAATGAAGTCTTAAGTTGAAAGGATAAACGATCAGTGTCAACAGTTGACAGCAGTTTTTCAGCTTTAGTCCGTCCGTTGTCGTCGTATGACTTGAAACCCGATTGAATGACGTTGTCAAGAATGTTTTGTGTGTCGGTTGAGCTGTAGAGGCCCAGATGTGAAAATTCTCTCGTACGGCTTAGAAAGGGGTTGCATCGAGATCTAGCGAGCCGATGAAATGCAGGTCTATTCACACTCGAGCCTTTGTGCGGTTCCTCACCCGTCCCACCACCTATTGACAATATCCTTACAACTCGGAGCGACACAATGCCGTATAGGAAGCCATATCGTTAATGATCCCGGGCCCATTGTCCCAGTCGTCCTCTCAGAACCCCTTCAATTATAAACGACAGTAATTTTATGTATATACACATATCAAGGCCGAAGCTATTTGTCTCTCAGAAGCCTTGATGAAGCGGATAACTCCTTGATGTTTAAAGGGCGAGAATGTCCTGGAGAGATATTATGGAAAATGCTTTTATGTATTTTGTAAAGGCTCAAAGGGGAATCGCTCGAATCTCCGTTTCTCCTTCCTGAAACCAAACATGATTATTCATGTATAACGTCGAGCACTAATTACCCACAGTCAGATTAACTTAGATCTGAAGATGTTTGCCTTGCTTGCCGTATTTGAGATACAAGCTTTTGTTTAAGAATTGTTTCTAATGAATGACGAAATTAGGGACTTGGAATCTTGCGAGAATTGTTGTCGATTGTTCGATTCATTAGCCAAAGAAGTCCCAGTTATACAAATAGATATACACCAAGCTTGTATAATATCACTTTCAGTAAAGTTGATTAGGAATTCAAGAAGATAACATTCTTCCAAATAAACAGATAAAATAAAATCATTTTTCTTTGCCTTTTTTTTCTTTTTTAAAAGTTTTTAATGTTTCAAACCGAATCAACGATATTTATCCTCATATATATTTATAGTCCATACTAAAAAATGTATATTTATTTAGCATTTAGCCTGCAACAAAATAAAAAATAATATAAATGAAAATATTGAAGTTTTAATTTTAACAAAAATTTAAGTAAAAATTTCCAGATATATGTTAACAAATTACATTCTATGATGTAAACTTTTATATTCTTATTTGCAAAGTTGTAAATTTGTATTTTTCTGAGTATTTCAAGACAAAATATTATATTGCGTGAAACTGATAAGCAAATAATTCGTCATACTATCCTCATTGGTTAACCATTTAAAATGTTTAAAAGATGATAAATGTGAAAATGCAAATGCATTGGTCAGGTTACAACTTATTTGCATGGCATGAAAGGGTATCACTTTTAGGCTGCATTACGTAAAAACCACATAACCCCCCTTTAAATGAAAGGTATTAAATTATTGACAATTGAATTCCTCTGCTTAGGATTATGGAAGTATTCGAAAAGTGATTTGTAACATATTTTCGTGTTTTTTGATTTTATGTTTTCTCATAATATGTATGGTAGTCATAACTTTCACACACACAATATGTTATTAACAATAATTTCATGTATAAATTATTTTAATATATAATTAATAAATAATATCTATTATGTATTGAATCTATCTGTCGATCTTCCTAGCTATCTAACTATCTCTGTATCTCTTTCTTTCTTTGCCATCATCTTTTTGTTATTCTTTCAGTTTGTTTCTCTCACCTACTGCTTCATTTATTACGTAGTACATGTGCCAGTTTTCCCAATATTCATAATGCCCATTTTCATCCACTACATTTATTTCCTCTTTTTATTTCTTCATCCATCACAGTCTCTCAGACTGAGTTCTCTCGCTTTCTCCCCTCTCTCTCTCTCCTCTCACTCTCTCTCCCTCTCTCTCTCCCTCTCTCTCTCCCCCCTCTCTCCTCACTCTCTCTCTTTCTCTCTCTCTCTCTCTCCTCTCTCTCTCTCCCCTCTCTCTCTCCTCTNCTCGCTCTCTCTCTCCCTCTCTCTTTTTCTCTCTCTTTCGTTTACTAACTCTATCTTTTTCTGGCTCACATTTTCTCTTATTTTATCTCTCCTTCTCTTTTCCTTTTCCCTCATTCCGTTCTTAATTCTCTATTATTTTTTTTCTTTCTCTTTCGTTTTCTCCCGTTTTCTTACTTCCACCTTCTTATTTTTCTTTCTTCCTGTAACATTTTCTAATTTCGTTCTACTTTTTTCTAATTTTTCTCTCTTTCTTTTACGTTTTCTGTTTTTAATTTGTTTTGTCTTTCTTTTACATTTACGTTTTGATCTTCTCTCTTTTTCTGCCTATCAATATTTTTATTTATTTATCTATCCATCTAACTATCTACTCATCTACTTATGTTTTCTTGTCTTTTGCTATGTTTCTTTCTTTTCATATCTATCGTTTATATAACTATCGTATTCATCTTCTTACTTATCTTTCTCCACTCTTCTGTTTTACCCGGTAACGAATTATTGTTATTTATGATTTTTATGCTAGTGAGGGTAACGACTCAGTTCATTAATTTTCTCCATTAACCTTCAAAATAATCCCTAACTCTTTTAACACAATTACATTGCTTGGCTACAAAATTTTTTTAATCATCATTTTTGCAGCATCGATTTCGCAATGCCCCGGAATACGAATCCGTTAGGGAAGTGTTGGAGATGGGTTAAGACTAGGGTTTGGTAGGTCAAGTTAGGTTAGGTAAGGTAAGGTTAGGGTTAGAGTAAAAATTATGGGGTTAAGTTAGGATGGGGATTTGGGTTAAAGATAAGGTTTTTTAATTGTTTTAATGTTTATGTTTAAGCATGCTCCATATAAGGTAAAACATATGTTTTTCGTAAAACGAGGAAAATATGTGAGTGCGAAACGTGAGTTTTGGTGTAATGTAATCAACCTAACACTATTTACATTGTTGTGATAATTGCGCAAGTTATTGTGATTGCCAGACTGTTTGTGCTGATATACTATTAAACCAAATTTGGGTATTTTGTTATCTCATTACACGTATTAATTCTGAAAGCATGACATTTTTAAACTGGGCTGATATTTTTTTGAACGGCTGGTATATCAATTATAAAAATTGGGCGAATTAGGCGGAGTGAGTAAGCTTGATCCTGGTCGTAACCTGCGAGGTTAAAGTTTAAATTAAGAGGGAAAAGGATATTTGATTATAATCTTCCAATTCCGAAACGCCAGGCAAAAGAAATATAGCCACCGTTTTAGCCAGGGGGGCAGATATGAGCTGGTAGGCTCCAGCGGCGAGGGGTTATAATCCCTGGCCCGCTCCATCGTTCTCTGTTTTAACGCGGTCGACGAAAAAACTGGAACCGGTTAAATTTATTGCAGCCTGGATTCAAGGTCCAACCTCCGCCGATTACATCTGTTTATTTCCGACGTGAATTATTGTTGACGGTGGTGAAACATCGATTGATGCCTTGGTTCCACGCCGGCCGCAATACAGCCCACCGGATCGGTTCCCCATGGTGATTTGTCCACTGATCCTAGCCGAAGATTAAGTCTGGCAATCTATCCAGTTCGGATTCGAATCCTCACTAAGCCTTGCCCGTATCAAGTTCTGAAAACCTATTTTCTAATTCATACTATTTCGAATCGACGAACGATCAAATCCTGATTTACAGAGTCAAATGACTTTCTCGTTCATTATCAGTGGCCATAAACTTAAAATATGGGGGACAAAGAGCTTGAAAGATACTTATGAATAAATAAAAACATTGCTAATATGTACATAGACCTCAAAGTCTTCATTTAAGTCATAATTCTTTCATAAATGTGAAAAAATAATTTTAAAACATTGCTTTTGAATAAATATAAAAAGAGGTTCAAACTTAGTAAGTAAAGTTTCAACAGAATATTTTAGAGCTTATAGCTAATGTACAAAATATTTGCCTACTTTAGCGTCGTTTAACTAAATAATTTAATCCATACATGTTTTAGTGGTCTAATTGACCAGTTTACTTCTTTCTATTAATAATTCTTTTTATGCAAGGTCTTGGTTGAGGTAAAAAGTCAGTGTCAGGAGCGGGATTCGAACCCACGACCTTTGGCTAAATACGCCGCTACTCGACCACTTGAGCTATCGTGACTTCGTTCCTCTCTGACACGAAATTTCCATCTTAACCTACAACCATTCGAATTTTCGCTCTTTTTTTGCCATTTTTCAAATGCCTTGTATTCAGGATTCAATTCTCAACGACTTAAGAAGTGGCCACGGGGTATGTTAGTGAAGTGTTACTTTTTTACGTATTAAATATTAATCCATTTATGTTTAAATGGTCTAATCGACCAATTTACTTCTTTCAATTAATTATTCTTTTTATGTAAGGTCTTGGTTGAGGCAAAAAAGTCAGTGTCACGAGCTGGATTCGAACCCACGACCTTCAGCTAAATACGCCGCTCCTCTACCACTTAAGCTATCGTGAATAATTTAAACTAATTTCCCTGTCCTTTCATTCCCGGTACAAACTTAAAATATGAGGGAGAAAGAGATGATGATACATATGAATAAATAAAAACATTGCTAATATAAATATACATAGGCCTCAACTTCTTCATTTAAGTCATAATATTATAAATGTGAATAAATAATTATAAAACATTGGTTTTGAACAAATATAAAAAAATGGATCAAAATAAGTAAAGTAACAACAAAATATTTTAGAGCTTATAGCTTAGTACAAAATAATTGCCTACTTTATGCGTCTTTTAACTGAATAATTTAAATTAATTCGTCCCTTTCCTTTCATTCCTGGTATAAACTTAAAATACGAGGGACAAGGAGCTTGAAAGATACATATGAATAAATAAAAACATTGCTAATATAAATATATATAGGCCGCAAAGTTTTCATTTAAGTCATAATATTATTATAAATGTGAATAAATAATTTACAAAACATTGGTTTTGAACAAATATAAAAAAATGGATCAAAGTATCAAAAGTAAAGTACCAAAAATACATTTTAGAGTTTATAGCTTATGTACAAAATATTTCTCTACTTTAGCGTATTTTAACTGAATAATTTAAACTAATTCGTCCCTGTTCTTTCATTCCCGATATTTTCTCTTTTATGACTTTGACTGACTTTAGTATGTATGTTTTTAGAAGGGTTAGGCTCAGGATTGAACGTTTGTTGTTATTAGATGAACACACAAGTATTAATCCAAATAGAGGAGGAGAATACTGTGGATTACTATTATACGTTAATCTATTTGTTCGGATATTGAGCGTTCTGTGATGACAAGTGATCAACAAGAAACGACAGCAATATACATATTCAAAGAAATATAAACATGAACGTAATGAAATATAGTGAAATATAATTTACAGATAAATGTGGACTTTAGAAGGTTTATTTGAATATTTGCAAAAAAATTGTCTGTTTCAGCTTACGGTAACCTTGGATCGGTGCTGAGCTCACAGGGTAGAGTGGCGGAGGCTGAACATGCTTTCAGAACGGCACTTTTGTACAGGCCCAACATGGCCGATGTCCACTATAATCTGTAAGTATTTGTAGTTTTTCAGCTTTAAAAACAAAACCTTTACAACTATTTGGTTTTCTAACTCATCATTCATAATTCAGCAATGATTGTTGGCACTATTACCTCTGTTTAAAAGACGGAGAGAACTTCTCGGGTGCATTGTTAGATGTGCTAAGCTTTTGACAGGGTCTAGCGCCCTGGAGTTACCTTCCAACTAAAGCAATTTCTGTTCACTCCTTATTATCAAATCGTAAAATCCCATCTAACAGATCTCGTTGCTTCAGAGTAAGGTGCGGCAGTGAATGTGAGACAAAACCGATAAACGCAGGCGTCCCACAAAGAAGCATTCTTGTTCCCATCCTATAAATCATTAATACTGACCTGAAGATACATCACAAGGCCATTCTTATCACCTTCGCGGATGGTACTGAAACTCCCAATATCCAAGAACAAGTGATCGAAAACAAATGCAGCCAAATAACGTTTTGTTACCTATAGCGTTTTGTCAGAGAATGATGATGGTAGAAGAAGAGTAGGAAGTGTGGTTTTTGTTCCTAATTGCTGCAGCTTCTGTGTTATTTTACTTTTCTAGTTCCTTAGTTCAGTCAATCGACTCGATCCTTCTCTTAAGAAGTACGAGGCCTCTTTTCATAAATCGAGAAATATGCAAAAAACCTTTAGTCAAATTGAGTGATCAGATTTTGAGAAAAGCTCCAATCACTTTTGTCTTTTGCATAGATAAGTTTTTTCTTTCCTGAAATACATTATATTGTAAGATAGGAAAGCCGATAAATAAATAGATAGAGCGTGTAATAGAGAAAATTAATAGAAATAATCAGACAGACCAGCCATCAGGCAGAAAATGGTTGAAAAAGTGTCAGTATAAGTAAGAATACAGAAATGGGAGAAAATTAGAAAGCGAAAAAAAGAGTGGGAAAATAGGATGAGGAAGTGGGTTGGTGAGAATGATGAAAACCGGTTAATTGAAAATGTATGACATAAAGAAAGAATTTTATTTTTTCCCGTACATAACAACAAAAGAACGAACTTACTGAAAAAACGAAATACTAATTAATTAAGAAAACTATTATTTATTTTACGTTGTAATATCAATTATATTGCAATTTAACAGTGATAAAAAATAATTCCGTAATTTTTTTCGTATCATTTTGTCAAAAATGACATTGTTACCGTCTTGTTTTAGTACCCTCACATTTAAATATCTAAACTTCTCCGTATTTGTTTCTCTCTACTTTCGCAACATAGCTTTTGGAAATATTAGAGGTATTCACGATCATTGTGTTAACCTTGTTAACTCTGTTAAGTCCTGTTAGATCAAGAAAAATGATGACATAGACTAGTAAGAATCGGTTAGTTAACACTGCTCGATCTAACAGGCCAGGGCCAATGTTAGATGTTAAATCGAAAATGTAGTCAAACTGCTATCCGCTAGCGCGTAGGTAATCAACATGGCAGCCATGAATTTAACAGCTGTTTTTTGTTTACACGTCTTTTTATTCTTAATTACGCATTAATTAAATCAAACGAATACATTTCTTTTGCTAATTTCCGACCTGTCCTTATACTCTCATTCATAATAGATAAAACCTCTATCCTATAAAGTTGTAGACTGTTAGACGTTAAGATATAAGTTAAGTATGTCGGCACGAAGTGAAGCGTATCCTTTCTTAGTACTTTTTGAGTGCGTAAGTAGCATTTTGAATGAAAGGGTTGATTAATTTTCCCTTTTTATTAACTTCTGCCATCTTACAATTTAACACAAAAGAAAATCAAAACAAGCAACAACATGCCTTCAAGGTCTGTTATAGCTTTATTTTTGGTTCTATCAATCGCCATGCGCAGCATAGCGAGAAAATTAACGTTTAACATGCTAAGAAGAGATGGGACTTACTGGTCATTTCTCTATTCGAGTTAACACGAGTTAACATCTTACAAACATCTTGAATACCTCTGCTATTTAATAAAGGTAGCAGTTCATGTGTGGTAGTTGTTGTTTCATTGTATAACCTATCTCAGACTCACTCTCCACCCTTTATGTAAAAGTTTAAGTTGTAGTTTAAGCCTCTCTATTTTGAAAGTCGAAAGAAAGGGAGAGAGGAGAGAGAAAGAAAAAGACATTGATGTCAAAACGAGTAAAAGGATACATGAACAGATTGGGAGAACGAAATATTAAAGGGAGGACTACTCAAAACCGATAGGGCTCACATGACACGTTGGTTTATTCAGACTTGAAAAGTAACGAAGGGAATATTTTAAGAGAGTCGGAGTTGTTAGGCCAATCCCGAATGGCCCCGGGTGGTGCTCAACTGAAGTTTAACACGTGTTGAGTGTCTCACGGCACTTAGTCCCCACTTGACTATGTCGAGTCACGAGTCCGAGCTAAGCCTTGGTGTCTGCGCTCATCCTCATTAACCCCTTAATCCGGGAACTTTATGAATATATCTTTCTCGGCCGTTGGGGATTAAAGAGGGAAAAATATATAATATATTATGGCGTTTTCAAACGGATATAGGTTAATTCTATCTAACATCAAGGGTGACATTTTTCGGTAAAAAATGAGAGAGAAGCAAACTGTTCATTCCACAAAAAAATATATACGCACCATAGAAAAACTATTCCCTTGATAAATTTATGAAAACAAAAACAGTATGAACATGAAGCGTTTTAGGGACGTCGGTGGCCGCAACTGTTTAGGCGTTGACACGGCGCTCATCAATGTAAGGTAAAGAAAGGTCCCGGGTTCGAATCCAGCTGCCCTGCATTCGAACCGGATATACTTATAAATGGTATACTTTTTTTCCAAAACCCCGACACCCCGAGGGTTGTTGATATAACTTCTGCTGTAGCAAACCCTCGTTAAAAAAAAGTTTAAATATTCTAAACAAATTAGTAGATTTTAGGAAAATCCTGTTAGATTTTGTTTTACTCAATGAAATTATGACTATAAAATTATTAAAAATCATTATAATTAGCTAATTTATTTGATATTTTAAACTTTCGCATTTATACTAAGTAAATAAATCTTCAATTTCTATGTTAATCATAATTCTCTGATATTAAAGTATCAGCATAAACGAGTGAGGGCGACATGAAGACGGTCAGCGTTCGCAAGATCGTAAACATCTAATAAAATCATAATCCATGTAAAACAATAAGACTTTTCTCATTTGGTTTCCAACAACGGTCACAAATTTCAACATTTCCACCCTTCAAGACGTACGGTTACGGACGGTCGGAGTCATTAACGTTGGTACTCTTCTGAGATTACTTCCGGGCTTGACACTAGAGAATCCCGCTCAAATCCGGCTCATAAATCATTTTATTACAGCAATCCGCCTGGTTTATGCCGGCCATCACTCAGAAATTTCACCGCAAAACTTTATTGCCTCCTTCAGGACGTAAAGTTGTCATACCCGATCCTGGTGTTTCAATATAAAAACATTTTGATTTACAGCACTATATTTGCGTTTATACCGCCAATGCAGTGGACAGAATTTTTCTTATATTTATAATAATTTATTTAAATTATTAAAGTTATAGTATTTCGGCCTACATCTCGAGGCCTAGGATTAGGGATGGTTAGGGCACCTCATATTTGGATGATCTTTAGATATATAGATAGATGGATGGATAGAGAGACAGAAAGAGAGGGTGAGTGAGAGAGAGGAGAGAAAGACAGAGAGGAGAGATAGAGCTAGAAAGATAGATAAATAATGGATAGGTAGATAGATAAATATATAGATTGATAGATAGATAAATAAAAAGAGAGAAGATGAAGAGAGAGAGAGAGAGTGAGAGTGCGGGGAAGAGAGAGAGAGAGAGAGAGAGAGAGAGAGAGAGAGAGAGAGAGGCTAAGTGAGAGAGAGGAGAGAAAGACAGAGAGGAGAGATGGAGCGAGAAAGATAGATATACAGATGGATAGGTAAATAGATATATTAATAAATAGGAAATAGGTAGATGGATACATAGATAGAGACAAAGAGAGAGAGAGAGAGAGAGAGAGAGAGAGAGAGAGAGAGAGAGAGAGAGAGAGAGAGAGAGAGAGAAATAAAAAAAGATATAGCGACAAAGATAAGGTTAAATAGGTAGAAAATAAAAATAGATAACGACGGAGGTACATCATAAATGGATGCATAACAAAAGAGAATTAGAAAGAAGAAAAGCGCAAGAAATATCTAAAGAGAAAGATATAGCCTGAGAAAGAGGAATATATATATATAGATAGATACACATAGAGATAGATATAAAGATGGATAGTAAGATAAATAGATAGATGGCTATATAGATAGATCGACAAATAGATAAATAGATAGAGAATAAATTAATGAGGTTTGATTTAGTGTCGCAGAGTTTTGTCAAATATTGACCACTCTTACAATCCACGAAATAAGTGAGAGAGAATGAAAAAGAGGGAAAATGTGAGAAAGTGAGAATGAGAGAGTGAGGGAGTGATAGAGAGGCAAGGGACAAGTTGAATGATGTTGACAACAAATAAAGAAAGAAAGACAGAGAGAGGGTGAAGTACGAGCGAGAGAAATATAGAGAACGAGTAAGGGGAAAAGAAAAAACCTAAAAGAAAAAGAGAGATAAAAATAATTAAAATTATTTACTCACCTAAACCTAACATCCTACTCACGCACACCCAGACCCACTGACACACATCCAGAAATATAAAAATCTTCACAATCATTTGTTTTAATAATATCTGTCTTAGGGACATTGAGTTCTTTAATACTTCCAAATTTAAACAAGCAAATTTCAAACGTAATTTAAGTGAAAATATTTATAATAGGTGTAGTAACATACATTAAAAGTAATTAAATATTTCGTTCTCAAACTTTGTGATTAAGAAAACATTGATATTTGTACGAGGGAGGGAGGTGATATTACCTCTTTACAGATTCAGTCCCTGAATACAAAGTACCTGTTGCCATTAGGGTCCTCTAATAGGATTCTTCGCCATGGCCAAGCCGGAATACAAATGTAAAACATTGAAATAATATT